TTTTCTAAGAAAAGGGGGACAACTATATGAGGACACGAAAGTATACACACACATGCAGTGTGTGTATTCTTTTTGAATGTTTCTTATTATGGGCTTTTTTCTATTATTTACTGAATATTCATCTCAGCAGAAACTAAGTTTACAGTTTATATGGAACTCTAATATAATTTTATCTGAAGTGGAGAAAACAAAACACATTTTTTTATCATAATGAGCGTATTTCTATGACTCAGTAAACTCCCAGTGGAAACAATTGTGTCTCAGTTGAATAACACAAAAGGAATAAAATATAAAATAGAGGTATTTGGGATATGGAAGAAAATACAAATAAAAGCAATCTCTATTCATCACCATGGTCTCTAAGAAATAATTAATTAAGCTAATGGGATTTTGACAAACAATAATATAAGCAGAATTTATGCCCTCAACATAATTAGGCATTCTAATTTTTGAATAGAATTTTTTCACTTGCTAATTTATTAGAGTTTCTGCACATTTAGTGCTTTCGCGAATATTATTTACATTGCTGCCCAAAATAACCTTACGAAGGGCACTTAAGCTCGTAAGATCCTGAGTTCAGCATTAAGAGTAAGCAAGTAAATATTTCGTGTACATTTCAAGAAGGGCATAGGGTGGCGCCGACGCAGCAGCCCCAGCTCCGCACTCTGCTGAGCTCCTAATGCAACAAGCACCCCGCAGCTGCCCCGTTCCCCTGAGCCACCGATCCACTCCCCACCTACTTCTGGGGTGTGACACGTGGATGAGCAACAGCTCAGAGCGCGTGGGGAGAGGCAAGCCTGTAGCTAATCGGCTAAGGGGACGAAATGACAGTGACCATTTGGGTTGCTAACATAAAAATGTAGCTGTTCTGCCCCACAGGTCATTTAAGAAATGGGCCCTTCTGCTTATTTGGGTGGCTTGAGTAGAGGCGTCGAAATAATGAAAACCACTGTTTGACCTTGAGGGTGCTGAACTGGTGAAGATTTTTCTGTAGAAGAAGAAAAAATGAGTGACATTTTTAAAGGATACATTTTCAAAGTCTATCGGATTACTGGTCGACACGCAGCTGCGCAAGCTGACAGCTCCTTGCCTGCAGCAAAGACTAAAAAGTCCTCCCCTTTGAGAAACTCCATCGGATTTGGCCAACTACAGAAGGATATACTTTATATTTTTATATCAAGGGTTTATAATAACACAGGAATAGTATTAAAAACCAGCCTATTAGATCATTATTCCACATAACCCATCTGCTTTCACTCAGAAGCCATGGAATTTAGGTTGCAAAATCAACAGTAAACAAAATAGCCAGAAAAAGTCCCTTGCAAAATAATTGTTCGTGCTTTAGAAAGATTTTAGTTCTGAATTGCTATGTCATTTGTAGATTCCGAGGAAGTAGCCAGTGCAATTGTGTCAAGGAGCAAAGAGAATTCAGCCGAGCTTACCCCCATAACAATGGGGAGAGACTCTTCCTTACCCCCGATTGAGCATAATGTGGTCATTTTTAATACACAGAAGAGCCAACAACTACTCTTCAGTTATGCTAACCAGTCTGTCTACACACATTTTCGCAACTAGCAGAAACTTGATTTGAAAATGAGACTCTTTCACAAGTGTAGGTGCTTTTTAAATTGTTTTCTTCTAGAAAAATCACCTAAAAGATTATGTAATCCTTCAATTCAGTTATTTGTCACAGTATTCAGTAGGGAAGTGACAGTGAATCGTGTCTGAGTATCTTAACAGAAGAAAGCAGAGGCTGCAACGTGGCAGATTGAAGCAATGTGGCAGGCAGAGCAGGGTGTGAGGCGTGCAGTGATTACACCCGAACTCTCCTGAGAAGCTCAAGAAAGAAAGCAAAAGGCTTCCAGCCACCCAATGCGCAGCGATATCTCAGCGAGACACCTGCCGAGCTGGAGAATATAGCACTGAGCTCAGATGATGTATATTTTTTTTAAAACTCAAGGTTTGAAATTTGCTTCTTTGATTCCAGCTTCTTCTTTGCAAATGTGTCCACCCCACCCCACCCCACCCCGCCTGTGTGCATCTGTGACAAAGCTACCATCTGATCCGTCGGGTTGGGTGAGACTCCACGGTCTGCTGAAACCATTATTAACTCTCTTTGTGCTGTGCTTTATATGTTAAGTTTTTCAAGAGAAAGAGGAGACTCTTAACATTCTATGCACCGTGCTCCTTCCCTGCAAGTCAGGACTTTTGAATTTTTAATGGACAACTACAATTATAATTGCTTTATTTTAAGAGGTCTGCCTTTGGGGGGGAATGCCTCCATGATCATAAATTCATATCCACTCTTTTTATTGATATCATTCACTCACTTGCATCAAAGTAGCTGTAAGCTTGGAAAAATCTGTGTTTAACCTCAGGAAGGAAAAACAAGTAGACAAAAGGTAAAATACCTTTTTTATTACACTGCAAAGCAGCTTGCCTGTGGCTTCCAAGTATCCTGAAGGTATTTACGTGTCCTGGCTGCCTCAGCCTCTCCTAACCTGCAAGATAGACCGCCCATTCGCATCTTGGGCCCTCTTTTTTCTCTCTTTGTGTCTTGGTCAGGCTTGCAGATAGGAGAAGGAGAAGGGGTGAAGGTTCTGTGGACTGACTGTGATAAAGTAGGAATTAAACAATGTGGCTGCACGTCACCGGGATTATGGGCATGTACCACTGTGCCCAGTTTTACCTCATTTAATTGTGTCATCCTGGGGAGTCTCCAATATTATATAGTCTTAAAAAGTCTAATATTATATATTATCATTTTCACCATACAATTGAATTGGCTGGGTCATCTTCATTGTCGGTGACGCAGAGTCAGAGTACCAGGTTCATTTTTACATACTGAATGCACCCAAACTAAACAGACCAAGGAATGATGTCCGCCCCTGAGAAGCCCCTGCCCTCGCCCTCTTCCCACAGCGTCCCTCCCCAGCAGGCACCACCACCACACAAACCACTCGCACCTGCCTGGAGATCTCGTCAGCAATGTAAATGCACAGTGGACTGCCTTTTGCTGCCTGGCTTCCCTCCCCCAACAGTAGGTTGTAAAATTCACCCCAGCCTCGTGTAGCTTGCTCATTCATGTGTTCAAATAAGCACCAGTTTACTTCTGCATTTTACTGCAGATGAGCATTTTGATGGTTTACAGTTGGGGCTCTTTATCCACCTTAATGCTCTTTGTTTATTTTCTTATTATTTCTGAGAACACAAAGCTAGACTGAGCCTCAGCTCCTACACTCAAGTGGTCTCCCACCGCAGCCCCCAGTTAGTTCCTGGGGCCACGGAGAGACAATACCTTGACTAAATAAATGCTTACAACATGCAGAAACACGCAGCCAAGGGATCTACTTTAAACATAAGCCACCAAGAAATGCAATATATATTGTAACATTTAGGACATTTCCTTCCAATTGTGTATTTTCTACTGTAAGCAAGTGACCTTTCATTAAGTTCCTCACATTATTTCTGGATTCTACTGCACGAAGCAGTTGGGACTTCCAAATGGCTCCACCGTAGCCAAGGCAGGGTGTGGCTGAGGGCTATTTCATGGTTCTGGCAGTTGTGCCCTGGGGTGGACTCGCAGGTGCCTGGCTGTGTGTGCTCACCACTGGTTGGCCCCTAGCTGGGAGCTGCAGAAGAGGCCACGGTGAGAGCTGCCGAGTCTCAGGCTCGAACGGCCACTCATCGCTCCCTCCGCACTGCCCTCCTGCACACTGAGGAGAGGGGATGCCTGTGCTGAGGAGGAGAATTGGCAGGACCAGGAGGAGCCTCGGAGCAGTCCCAAAGAGTCTCTTTCTTTCCTTCTAACACCGTGTAGGTGCCCTGGCCATCTCATGCGGCACTGTAGTTCCTTTCTAAACACTCTCTTCCTCTCTAGAAAGGGATAGGAAAGGAAATTTTAACATGGCATCTTGCTCCTACAGAACTTACCATCTCTGGGAGTGTTAATACTTTTACTGCAAA